TTGGCAGCTTTGGGGAGCAGGGGGGGAGCGGGTACCCAAATTTGGCAGGTACCCACTCCCACTTCCGCTGCGATTGCCTATTAAACATGCCCAGTAAAAAAGTTTAAAAATCAAGCAGAAGGATGAATTTATCTGTCTCTTGCTGCTCTCCTGCAGTCCAGTCACAGGCAATGGGCGGGAGGGTGACCTAGCTGTATTCCTCAACTGCAGCAGAGAATTGTCAGGTCACTGTCTGTGCTGTGTAAATCTTAAAACTGGATATATAGAAAATAGTCGCTTGAACTCCCAGACACATCCCTAGAACTATATGTGAAGAACCTGTAACCCCAAAGGTGGCATTTTAATGGTACAAATTAGAACATATTATATTTATACAACCATATAACTTTTTTTTATTGCATCTGTGAGTACATTAAAATATGAGGAATCTCACAAATGTGTTATAAATTTTCTAATACAAATTAGGAGAACAATATATACAAACCCAAAAATGATGCACTATGTTTGTCACAGACCTCTCTAGAAGGTGACACCACTGATTGGGTACCATTACTCTGACTGACACCAAAAATGGAACACTATTCCTACCACTAAATTTAGTGATGGGACATTTTTATTGACACTGATCTTCTCCCATTGGCCACAGTGTGACCCCTGATCTAGACCACAGATCCAATAAACGATCCAGTAAGATATTACAACCCCTGGCAAAAAGTATGGAATCACCACTCTTGGGAAATGTTCATTCAATTGTTTAACCACTTCCTGTCCGGACACTTTAACCCCCTTCCTGTCCAGGGCAATTTTCAGCTTTCAGCGCTATCACACTTTGAATGACAATTGGGCAGTCATGCAATACTGTACCCATATGAATTTTTTACCATTTTTTTGAGACAGATAAAGCTTTATTTTGGTGGTATTTATTCTTCGCTGGGATTTTAATTTTTTTTTGCTATGTAAATGAAAACGTCCAAAAATTTTGAAAAAAAAGTGTTTTTTTATAAAATTTTGCAAATAAATAATATTTCATCATAAATCTTGGCCAAAATTTATTCCGTTATTTTTTTAGTAAAAAAAAAAAAATCCAAATTAGTTTATAACCAAAATTTATAATTTTTAAACATTTTTGTTTACATTTTTATTTTATTTTTTTATATTATTATTTTTTATTTTTATTTATTTTTTTACATACTGTCACCCTAGCAGTACAGTGTCACCATGGTGACACTGTACTACTTGTGGGGGGTGATGAAGATTTTTTTTTTTTTTTTTTTTACACTGATTGCTTTTACACCCATATAGGATGTAAAAGGAATCATTTCTCTTTCTCTCTGTCTGCATTCTTGCAGTCATTGAGAAGTACTGAGTGAGCTGTGATTGGTCACAGCTTGTCACATGGTACAAGGCTGTTGTGAATAGCCTTGTATCATGTGACCTCTGTGATCATTCACATATTTCACACGTAGTAAGCAATGATGTCACAAGTTACAGCTTGCTTACTACTTTGCATGTGATCACTGATTGGCCAATCAGTGATCACATGATCGGGACCTCGTACAGAGGTCCCGTCCGACGATCGGTGTTTCACTGTGTCCGGAGGACACAGCGGGCACCGGATCGCGGTGCTGCGCGCTCCCAGGGAGCACGCACAGCTAGAAAAGGCGGGTGCCGTTTATGAACGGCAACCCGCCCCTGCACTGCCACCGCCCTGCCGTTTATAAACAGCAGGCGGACGGCCAGTGGTTAATCGTGTAGAAAAAAAAACAATAATCACAGACATGCCTCAAAACTATTTTCATTTAACATTCTAACCTTCTGGCTTTCAAAAACACTTAAAAAAATGAAAACTGTAGTCACTTGTAACTGCTTTTGCAGATCAAGCAGAGGAAAAAAATATGGAACCACTCAATTTTGAGGAAAATATTATGGAATCACCATTAGCGGTTTTTTAAACCAGTGTGCATGAACCCTTATTCTCGTAATCATTAGTATTTATTTTGAATGCCATACCTACATGCCTAGGCAGCACACCACAATGCAGTAGTGTGCATCACACCCCAATGTACAGATGTAAACCATGTGTGCATTGTGGTGTGCTGCACTGATTAAGAAAAAAAAAAAACACGTCTGTTTTTTTCTTGTATTAAAGTGCACTGCCAGCCCATAATACAATGCATAGCGTGAAACACCTGTAAGAAACACCTGGCAAAAAGTATGGAATCACCACTGTTGGAAAACGTTCATCCAATTGTTTAATCGCATTGAAAAAAACAATCACACACATGCCTCAAAACTATTTTCATTTAACATTCCAACCTTCTGGCTTTCAAAAACACTTAAAAAAAAGAAAAAAAAAGAAAACTGTAGTCAATTGCCCTTGAACCCCTCGTGTATCACATTGTATTGTTTTTGTACCGTCACATGTTCTGTCTCCCTTTGTAATGTACAGCGCTGAGCGAACTGTTGGCGCTTTATAAATACTGTATAATAATAATAATAGCAACTGTTTTTGCAGATCAAGCAGAGGAAAAAAATATGGAATCACTCAATTCTAAATATTATGGAATCACCATGTACTTTCTGCATCTGATTACATCTACTAGTCTTCAGTTAAAAAAGAGTAATTGCACACCTTGGTGAGCTGTTGCACCAGGCTGATTGACATGAATTATGGCTCCAACACAAGAGATGTCAGTGGAAACAAAGCAGAGGATTATAAAATGTCTTCAAGAAGGTAAATCATCACAGAATGTTGCAAATGTTGGTTGTTCCAGGTCAGCTGTGTCTGAAATCTGGACCAAGTACAAATCAAATGGGAAGCTTGTAAAAGGGAAGCGTACTGGTAGACCAAGGAAGACATCAAACCGTCAAGGCAGAAAACTTAAAGCAATATGCATTGAAAACAGAAAATGCACAACAAAACAAATGAGGAACAAATGGGCAGAAAGCAGAGTCAATGTCTGTGACCGAACTATAAAACATCTCCTAAAGCAAATGGGATTTGCATACAGAGAAGCCAAATAAAGTGCACTGCCAGCCAATAATATAATGCATAATGTGAAACACCTGTAAGAGAGACTTCATGGTTGGCTGGTTTTGGTGCTAAAGCACAAGTCCTTTATTCTCGCTCCAGCTCTGCTAAAACACTGTCCTTCCTGCTGAGGCCGAACCCTCTGCCATCTTGTGCCCTGTTCCTTGCCATAGGCCTCCACACTAAAGATTGCCACAGGAAGGAATGTCCACAAGAGAGATAGTTTAGTTGCACTTTGCTGGTGGTATTTAGAAAATGGTATAACAGTTACACAACAAGGACATACATTCTGGAGTCACTTGACATTACACATTTAGTGAATGATCCGCAGTAGTCACAAGTGAAAGCATGTGCAGCACATTAACAGCTATCTCCCTTACAGTCTCTCCTCTGGCCACGGTCATTAGTACTCACAGGACTGTGCTCTCTGTCATCACCTCCTTGCTAGGTACATCTCTCCCGGGAACCCTTCAGGGAAGTAGTCTCATACAAGAATCTCAAGCCTGCCCTAAATAAAAGGCCTTTTGCAATCCGCCCTAGCCCCCACCCACTTAAGGAACTACCACAGCTATGTACAGGTCCACTCCACCCGGCCCCCTTCTCTGTCCAGGGCTTACATGTGCTGGTTACATCCTCACAGGCAGGGGCGGACTGACCATTTGGAAACTTGGGCACTGCCCGAGGGCCCGGGGTCAGTAGGGGGCCCCATGAGATGCCCCTGGTACCTTTTTCATAGGCTTTTTTGAGTTTGGGCAAGGACACAGGGGCCCCATGATCCCCTATTGCCCAGGGGCCCCATGAGTTGTCAGTCCGCCCCTGCTCACAGGTGTGGAGTGTTTGGCTCCCTGGCCACAAGAGAGTATGTGCCCTTTCCTACCTGGCTCATATATGGGTGCTGACTCACCCCTGACATCACTGCAGGAGGGGTCTATATAAATGAGCCTAACTCCTGCAGACCTTACTTACTGTAACCAAGCACTGGTCTGGTACAGAGCCACCTACAGGCAAAATAGCTAACTGCACCTGCCAACACACCTGTGACTCCTGGGCAAAGAAAAACACTCATTTTTCACAGTGCATGGCTTTCTGTGCCCATGAGATGAGCCCTAAAAGACTTATAAAAAATATCACGGTTGCTAGTCATTGACCACGTGGCCCATAAATTACTGTTAATAAGCATTTGGAACTGTGGTAGAGAAAACACAATTTAATTCCCAGATTAGAAAATAAACCACTTTTAATTTTGTTCCCCCCAGTGTTTTTCGAAGAATGGCAACTCATTACTCCTAATTCAAACCAGCAAACACCATTACACATAAAACAAATTAAAATTCAGTTTTGCACTGAAGACAACTATACACAAATCCAAATAAAGGGCAATTAATCATGTAGTGACAAAAAGGCAATACAGTGAAACACTCTCTCCCAGTGCACTTAATATTGATGAATTTATTTGTGCTGGTGTAAAGCTTCTCCCAGAACAACGCAGTTTATTGCCGGGGAAGGAAAGGCATTAGGTTAGTGCAGTGTAAGCTTACCCATGTGTTTTCTGTAATAGCGAGCAATAAAAGTTGAAGCCAGCCACAGTACATTAGTTTTTCTATAAATAGATCACTTTCAGTTATGATTGCTGTCTACCTACCACAGATCACGGAGCGGTGCAGGTTAGGTGTCAGTCTGCAGCTGTAAAGCCAATTCTTTTACTTAAAGTGTTTTTCGTTTTGGATAGGTGGAGAGGGATTAGAAAATATTATAAGTTTTTATTGCAGTCTGTGCCCCCCGTTCCGGAGTTTCACCCTCTCCTGATCACCATTATCTTCGAAAGTGAAAGTAAAAGAAGATTCTAAATTTTGGGTTGACGTCAGAACAGTAACAGAGAGGAAATCTTTTGATGGAGATGCTAGTTCTGGTGACATCCTGAGATTCCCTCACTCTTGAGGGATTTCATACAGGGGTGGACTGACAACTCATGGGGCCCCCGGGCAATAGGGGATCATGGGGCCCCTGTGTCCTTGCCCAAACTCAAAAAAGCCTATTAAAAAGGTACCAGGGGCATCTCATGGGGCCCCCTACTGACCCCGGGCCCTCGTGCAGTGCCCGAGTTTCCAAATGGTCAGTCCGCCCCTGATTTCGTATCACTACAGGCAGAAAGTGAAGGGAAATCTCTCCGATGGGATCCAAACTGCAAAAAAACTGACAGAGGTTATTATAACCCTTGCTTACTCTATTCCAAATTAAAAAAAAGAATAAAAAGTTTTAGCATTAGTGACACTTTAACCACTTCAATACAGGGCACTTATAACCCCTTCCTGCCCAGGCCAATTTTCAGCTTTCAGCGCTGTCGCACTTTGAATGACAATTGCGCTGTCATGCAACACTGTACCTATATGACATTTTTATAATTTTTTTCACACAAATAGAGCTTTCTTTTGGTGGCATATAATCACCACTAAGTTTATTATTTGCTAAATAAAACAAAAAACACCTGAAACTTTGAAAAAAAACGCACTTTTCGTTTTCTGTTATAAAATTTTGCAAATAAATAACATGTCTTCATATATGTATTCCGCTACATTTCTTTGGTGAAAATAATAATAATTGAATTTGTATTTTTTTTCAAATGTTTCTATTATTTTTTTTTATTACATTTTTTCTTTTTATTACTATTTTATTTTTCAGCACATTGTGACCAAAGCAATACAATGTTACCATAGTAACATTGAACTACTCTGGACAAGTGATCAGGATTTTTATTTTTTTTTACACATTATGATTGCTAATACCAATGTATTTCATTGAAATTAGCAATCATTGTTACTGAATGAAACGGATTCATTCAGTCTTTTGTTGTGATTAGCTGTGATTGGGCAAAGCTGATCACATGATACAGATGGGCCGTGATTGGCCCTGTCTGTATCATGTGACTGCCTTGACCAGTCACAGGTAACAATATAATTGTGGACACAGCTAGTGACAGATCGCTCACTGCACGGCCCCGTGGCTGCGTGAGCAGCCTGTTTAGACAGGATGTCATATGAAGCCCAGTCACAACGGTGAGTGATCCACCCGGCCATCAATCTGCTATAGGCCGGGCGGGAAGGTGTTAACCATTTGCCAACCAGTAATGTACCTGGTACGTCACCGGTCTTCAAGTGGATGTACTGGGATGAAGCCTGCAGCTGCCGTTATTCACAGCAGACAATGGGCTTTCTTGTAAAAGCAATCAGAGCGGCTAACTAGCTACTTGATTGTTATTACAAGCAGCAAGAAGGGATTCCTCCTCCCGCTACCTTCCACTGCTTTAACGTGATCTCCTGTCCCACCGAGAGTCCTGATCGACCAGTCAGCTTTTTTTGGCTCCTTTAACTAGTAAACTAGAAGCGATGATCTAAAAATTGGTTCCTGTTTACTTGGATTTGTTTAATTTGAGCCATTTTTAAAAAAATAAAAGCATTCATACAAACCAATCTTGGTGTGATGAAATGCTTTTAAGGGCAGAGGAGGGATGTGGGGTCTTATTGACCCCAGATCACTCCATAAAGAGTACCTGTAACGGGCCTATTGCTGTCACAAGGGATGTTTACATTCTTTGTGACAGCAATAAAAATGATCAAAAATTTTTTTTTTAAAGTGACAGTATAAAAAAAACGATTAAAGTCCCCCATCCCCCTGCGCTTGTGCGCAAAGGCGAATGCATGCATCATGCACGCAAACAACGATCATCCAACACAGGTGAGATATCACCATAAACTTCAGATCATGGGCAGTAATTCTAACACTCATTTACTCAGCATAGCGTAATCTTTTATATTTTACAAAAAAGTGGGTTATATGTATTGTTTTTTTTAATTCAAAAAACAGTATTTTTTCCCCAAAAATTGCATTTGAAAAATCACTGCACAAATACTGTGTGACATTAAAAGCGTTGCCTATGGATAGTAAAATATATCTCGTTTGTTGCCGTTACATGGGCGTGTGTAATTTTAAAGTGTGACATGTTTAGTAGCTATTTATTCAGAGTAACATCAGCTTTCAAATTGTACAAAAATGTGGTTATGTATTGTGGGTTTTTTTTTGCATTAAAATTCATAAAAGTGTATTTTTTCCCAAAAAACTGTGTTTGAAAAACCTCTGCGCAAATACCGCGTGACATAAAAAATAGCAAAACCCACAAAAATTTTCTTTGCTTTAAAAATATATATATAATGTTTGGGGGTTCTAAGTAATTTTCTAACAAAAAAAAAAAAGATTGTTAAATGTGAACAAAAAGTACCAGAAAAAGCCTGATCCCTAAGTGGTTAAGGGATCTAGTGCCTAGTCCTAGGCAGCCCCCCTTCCGTCCTTTGTTTCATAACTTTAAAAAGTAGATCTAAATCCAATCACTAAATTCACACATAAACTTTAACATATTAATGTCATTTAAAATGTTGTTTTAATACATTTATACACACACCTTAATTAACCGCTTCCCGACCGACCTATAGCAGAACTACAGCTACAGGGTGGCAGGGCTGTGCAAAATCACACACACATATATATATATATATATATATATATATATATACACACACATGATTTACATTCCCGGGTTGCGGGTGAGCGCGCCGCCCTTCCTGCTCTGCCATTAGTGGCTACAGATTTTGATCACGGGGTCCCAGCCGGAGATTCCTCACTGGCACCCAGCGATTGCCAAGGAACAGTGATGGGAGAGAGTCCTGTGTGTAAACCAGGGGCGGACTGACCATTTGGAAACTCGGGCACTGCCCGAGGACCCAGGGTCGGTAGGGGGCCCCATGAGATGCCCCTGGTACCTTTTTCATAGGCTTTTTTGAGTTTGGGCAAGGACACAGGGGCCCCATAATCCCCTATTGCCGGGGGGCCCATGAGTTGTCAGTCTGCCCTGGTGTAAACAACACAGGTCTCTCTCTTGCCAGCAGTAGCATGCTGCTGTGTACTTCTCCAAACAGCAGAGAAATACACAGCAGCATGTTTGCATAGTAAAACACGCACAGCACATACAGTAAAACACAACACAGCACACAGTTAACCCTTTGATGTTAACCCTTCCTGCCCAGTGTCATTAGTACAGTGTCAGTGCTTTTTATTAGCACTGATCACTGTATTAGTGTCACTGGGGATGTCAGTGGCAGTTAGTCAGTTCCCTCCCAGTGTCAGAATGCCTGCCGCAGTCCCGCTATAAATGTGCTGATTTCTGCCATTACTAGTATATTTATTTTTTTCAATTCCAGTATATATACCACCATTTGTAAACGCTATAACTTTCATGTAAACCAATTAATTTACACGTATTGATATTTTTTTTTTTAGCAAAGACAAGTAGCAGAATACATTTTGTCCTAAATTTATACCGAAATTAGATTTTTAAAAAATTTTTGCACATAATGCACTATGTGGTATTTCTTTCTTTTGAGCAATATTCATTGTGTAAAAAAAAGAACAGTGGATCCACCCAATGGGGACACCAACAGCAATGAAAATATGACCTTTCCCCACTTTATCCAAAACTATGAAAATGATTTTACCTAGAGATACAGTTTAAATGTAATTGCAGCTTGATTGGTTGATATGATCAGGAATCATGAGCAAATAAGGCTTTCAAAAAACGGCTGTTTTATGCAAATAAAAAATACAATGTTCACACCTATGTAATATTTAGGTCTACACATAGATCTTTACTTTTCAAACACCCATACAGGTACACTCTCATTTTTTGGACACGTGCACTTATTTTTTTCATTTTTTATATTTTTACCTTTCATTAAATGGGCAAATGTTCAAGCAGTCATCTTGATCAACATCTGTTCTTGCTATCAGAAAACAGATATGACTTAGCAAAATCTTCTGTAGGTGTTGTTTGGCCCTCTTAGAACAATGTACAGATTACTTCCCATGTGTCTCAGTGAAGCATGCCATCAATCACAGTGAGGGATTATGACAGGCCCGAGGCCCATTTGATTTTCTGTGTTATATATTCTGAGCACATACCTCTATCCTAGTCTCCAGCTGTCGCTTTTCTGTCAATAATTAATAACAAGCATGAATAGAGTAAAAATACATTGGAGGCCGTACATCACTGCTACCATGTTACTTGTCTGCTCAATGCAATATTTTTCTGTTTCTGTTTTTTTGCTGCATTTTATAATGCCACAGATCTGTTAGTAATAAAGAATACCTTTCCATAAAATGGGAATGAAGGATAAAAATGTCAGTGTAAAAAATAGCATAATTATGCCTTTATAAATAGTTTTGGCAAATAGGTTATTGTAAAGTAAGAAAGGTGCACTGGGAACCTGCCAAGATAAAATCATGGGAGCCGACAGTACTTACTTAGCTTGGTAGGTACAAGCTCCAAGGTGGTCATGTTTCTCATCTATCCTTTTTGTGTTTTTTGGTGAGGTGCCAACCTGGAACAAGTACAGCAGCCTTGTCATGTGTGGAGTGCCACCAGTCTAAGTATGGTGGGCAGATAGACTGAGCTTTGATCATTATTATTTTCTCTGTTTATTGGCTTTCTGCTAAGCTGAGGACATTATTGCTGCTGCCTGTTGTTGGGGAGTGCTCCCCAGCAGATAGGGTATGGAGATATAGTAATGGGCTACGAATATTGGCCAACCACTAGGAGGTTTTTTTGTTGGTGATGTGGGCTGGGGAAGTGTAGTCTTGTCTAGTCTAGTGTATAAGGATCTTTGCCTCCCAGGCTTTGCCTGGAGAGGATGTGAAGAGGTGTGAATGGACCTATGGAGATCATTTCTCATCATCTGGCTCTAAAATCAAGCATGCCTGAAAGAATTTAAAAAATGTTTAAAACTAGGACCTATGTTGGTTACCCATCTTTCTTGGCGTGTCATAGCTGAGCAGGTCTGAATCCAGAATATAAATATAAACTCTGCTCCCATGAACCAATGGTATAGTTCTATCTGTGCTTCAGGAGAAACTTCACCCCCCCCCCTACATTATTCTTTTCTTTCTCCTCTTATCTTGTCTGCTGGATTGTCCTCAAAAAAAACATACTCATATGCCTGGTAAACCCAGAATTGTCCTGCTGTGATCCACCAGTCCGTTACTGCACGCCAAATGCTGCATCACCATATTACTTTCTGATGTCTTCAGGAGCTGGCTGTATTTTCCTGGTTCAGGCAGCCAGCCCACTGATGATATGTCGCTAGGTCAATCTTCCTCCAGTCACTGTGTTAAGGCTGTTGCCTCCTGGTGTACATAATCCAGGAAACTTCAGGAGCAGAGGAGATGTCATTCTCATCTAGGTGAGAATGGAGGCTGGTGTAAATATACACACAAACAAAAAAAAAATGGGTTTTCCGGTTGCAGAGGTGGGAAGGACACAACAATGACAGCAGGTACAGACCAGACACAAGGTGACTTCCAATGACTCTCAACAAAATAGAGACAGGGATATGTCTGGTACACACTACCAGCTGGGCTGAATAACATAAAAAAAAAAAAGGAGGAGCTAGCAAGGAGGTCTCTGTACTAACTATTCTATGTTAGTACAGCGATCTCCCCGCTGAGCTATTGTGTTTTGATGGGGGACTTCCCCACTCCCCGGCAGAACACACCGGTCAGCGCCCGCAGCCATTGCCTGCCAGCAGTCATCAGATGTCAGTCGGCAGATGTTTTTCTAGTCTGCCCGCTCTACTGGACATTTGGCTGGCTTCTGTCAGACAGGCTGCCATACACACAGGCTGAATGTTGGCCGGTTTCTGTTGAACCGGCCGATACCGGCCATTATTCGACCCATGTGTACCAGGCTTAAAGCTGCCCAAACCCTAGATTTTTTTCTGTACAGCCTCCTGCGGTTGCTATTGTATTCTGACAAAGCCACCCACTAAGCAAATTTTGGTCTGTTTCTGAAATCCGTACAGTTTATGGCCAGCTTAGACAATTTCTTGCATATCAGCAGATCTCCTTTTTTTCAGAGGCTGAAACAAAAATTTATTAACTATACAGACTATAAAACGTTTAGAAGTAAGACAAAAAAAATAATTATTGTGTTTGGATGCACTTCCCTTTCTCCGTTGCTGCCCTAGGGAGGACCTTGTAATATAGACCAATAAACAGATTTAAATGAATCATATTCAGCACAATCTAAAACATTTTTCAAGCATCTTCCCTAAAACAAAAAAAAAAGGACATGTTTTTCACAAACACGTAATACTTTTTCCATCACTACATAAAAAACCCCATAAAAGCATAATTTAGAACTGGTTATCCAGACACCCTGCGCCCAGAGCAGCTGTCTGTTATGCGTAGACTTGGTTTTGTGTCTGTGACAGAATTCTAATATTCTATTATTTATTTTATTACTTCTTAAGCCTGCTGAGGTGTATTTGTGTTATTCGGTCTATTTGTGGAGCACAAAAGAAAAATGAATTTGTGTACCGATCCTCCCCAACCATGTTAGGTGGTCAGTAGGGAACACTAAAAAAAATAGAAAAAGATCATTTTCTTCAGCAATCGCAGATGTACAGAACACTTGGATTGAGAAATGAGTACAAATTCTTACAAAATACAACTTGTACTACACAATAGAAAGTAGCACAAGACACTAAAAATAATGTGATGGATTGGAGGTATCATGTTGAAGCCCAACTGCTTGTCTTTGTCTAGGGGATTGGAGAACAGGGATATACTTACCCAATCCTCCGATTCTCACACACAAGACCAGTCCCTGTGGCTCTTGCCCCCACTGCCCATGCAGTCTAGCATTATTGTGCGGTGGACTGTTCCTTATGTCTTCACAACCATAGACCTGCTTGGGACATGAGGACACCAGGTACAGTCCACTGCCAGATCGTGGGGGAGCGCCATTTGCAGGTGGAGCAATTGAACCGTGTAGTGCGGGCACAGCCTGACTGCATGGGAAAACATATTTTTTTGCCCAGAGTTGGACTTTAAAGGGAAAGTCCACACAAAAACTGTATATGAAAAGATGGTCGATGCTGGCCTGATAAATCCCTACATGACTCCATCACTTTAACCACTTGCCTACTGAGCACTTTCACCCCCTTCCTGCCCAGGCCAGATTTCAGCTTTCAGCGCTCTCATACTTTGAATGACAATTGCGCGGTCATGCAGCACTGTATCCAAACCACATTTTTATCATTTTTTTAGACAGATAGAGCTTTCTTTTGGTGGTATTAATCACCAATGAGGTTTTTATTTTTTGCTAAACAAACTAAAGTTTTTTTTTTTAGTTTTGGTTATAAAATTTTGTAAATAAGTAATTTTTCTCCTAGACTGATGAGGCTGCATTGGTGGGCACTAATAGGCAGGACTGATAGATGGCACCGGTGGGCAGCACTGATGGGTACTGACAGATATCATTGATGGGCACTGATATGTGGCACTGATAGGTGGCGCTGACTGGCACTGATAGATGTCACTGATTGGCACTGATAGGTGGCACTCATGGGCACTGATAGACAGCACTGGCTGGCACTGATAGGTGGCGCTGATGGATACTGATAGACTGCACTGATGAGGATGCACTGATAGGCAGCACTGATGGTCATCGACAGGCAGCACTGATGGGCACTGATATGTGGCACTGATGGACATTGATAGGCAGCACTGATTGGCAGTGATAGCTGGTACTGATAGGCGGCACTGACTGGCACTGATGGGTACTGATAGACTGCACTGATGAGGAGGCACTAATAGCCGGAACTAATGGGCATTGACAGGCATCACTAATGGGCAGTGAAAGGCAGCTCTGATGGACACTGATATGTGGCATTGATGGACACTGATATTTGGCACTGATGGGCACTGATATCTGACACTGATGGGCACTGATAGGTGGCAATGATGGGCACTGAAAGGCAGCACTGATGGGGCTGCACTGATCATCAAGGCACTGATGATCAGTGCTCTGATTATGAGTGTAGATGTCCCCTCTGAGGAATGCCACTTACTGGCTCTGCTCTCCTCACACACTGTCAGCGCGAGGAGAGGACTGCCGATAACCGGCATTTGCTGTTTACATGTGATCAGCTGTGATTGGACACAGCTGATCACATGGTAGAGCCTACGCCATTGGCTCTATACCACGGTCAGTGATCCACTGTGTCCTAGGTTAGAGTGACGTCATATGACAGGACGTCATATGATATCCTTCCAGAACAAGAGAGCTCCGTCATTTCCCTATGCGGGAGGCGGTTAATAGAGTTGCTGTCAAGAATAACTTGCAGGCATCTAGAAATTAACCAGCCTGAGCACCAGCACTCCGCTCACATTCCTTTGATGAGCAGTAGAGCTTGGGTGAGTTGTTGACTATCTAGAAATTGCCGTACATTCTTGTAGCAGCCTCCAATTCCCTCCAGTCAACCCAAATGTCAAGTAGGTAGTGTGGAACCTTGCTTGTCCTCTTGCTTGTTCTTAATAAAAAATCGAATACACAAACAGCTCCTCTAAGCTCAGCCACTAGAACCCTGGAGGCATTGGGCAGTATTGGATCATTTAGGACAGGTGTTTCTTAACCTTTTTTCAGTCAAGGCACCCTTTAAAATTATGGACAGTCTTGAGGTACCCTCTAAAGTTATGGACAGTCTCTAGGCACCCTTTAAAATTATGGACAGTCTCGAGACACCCCATTCTAAAATGTAAAAAAGTATTCTAATAGTTTTATATAACGCAGCAATATCCACACAAGTAGGATACCCAACGTTAGAGGTGATTTATTCTTCCAAGGTCAATACACTTTTGCACACTGGTACTGACTAGTATTCCAATGTTTCTCTTCTCCCTCAGTTTTTTTCCATCGCTCAGCTAATGTGACCCCAGCACTGACGGGGAGGGGCAGAGGAGGGTCAAACAAGGATGCTATGCAGGCAACCAACATCCTCCTTTTCAACTGATGATGTCATTGGTTGTTAGGATGCCAGAAGGTCATAATGATACACAATGAAAACCTCCAGCTTTGTGTAACTAAAAGTCAGGCTTGTTCCACCTGCCGGCTTGTATACAAATTTTGGGCAGTTTTTCGACATTTTGCCAAGGCACCCCTGAAGAAACCTCAAGGCACCCCAGGGTGCCTGGGCACTCTAGTTGAAAAAGGCTGATCTAGGACATGCAATTACAGACTGCTTTTTGGAAGTTGGATTATTAGTGAACAGTTTCACGCTAGTACCCTGAGATACATCAAAGGGGGTTTGAACATTTTGTTCATTGTACACCTATGTTGATTGACGGGGGCTTCTAGCATACTTGCTTATTTACAAACTAAGTAGCTAGCACCTCTGCCCAGCAGCACTAGTGTTGTCAGTTTGAATCCCAACCATGGCACTGCCTGGAGTTTGCTCCTACACTGCAAAGACATGCTGGTAGGTTTATTGGCTTCTGACTAAATTGGCCCTAGTATGTGTATGTATGAATGTGAATTAGGGACCTTAGATAGTAAGCTCCTTGAGAACGAGGATTGATGTGAATGTACAATATATATATGTAAAGTGCTGTGTAAATTGATGGCGCTAGAGTACCTGTACTAAATAAATAAATAAACTTCAAGATCAAAGATATATTTTCTATTGCTGTGGGACATAGGGAGTTGGTGGTCTCCTCACCCACTTCCCCAGCCCTCCTTTCAGATACCATGTGGGCAGGGGTGGACTGACAACTCATGGGGCCCCCGGGCAATGGGGGATCATGGGGCCCCTGTGTCCTTGCCCAAACTCAAAATAGCCTATGAAAATAGGTACCAGGGGCATCTCATGAGGCCCCCTACTGACCCCGGGCCCTCGGGCACTGCCCGAGTTTCCAAATGGTCAGCCTGCCCCTGCATGTGGGGGTTATGCTGGATGTAGTGGTTTTTGAAGCCCTTTGCCCTGGCATTGTTTTTGTAAGTAATAAAGACTGAATGCTGTTGTCCAACACCTGATGAAAGTAATTGAAGTTCAGTGAAACGTGCTGAGATGTGAAGCTCAAGGATATCACTTCCCCTATGTTTCATGCATTCTGCACATCTCCATCTGCTTCTTCAACATATTCCCCCACAAATCATCAGGGGGCAGCTCTGACATGAAGAAGGAAAGCCTTGCTCCTCCATCAATATGGCAACCTTCACAGTGCATTGGAACAAGTATAGTAAGTTGGTGGTAATAGAGCTTAGAGGCATCACTGGTATCTAGTCCTGTGTTTTCTGCTTGCCTTTTTTGGCACAGTTTTTACATTACTGGTCCTCTGTAAGTGTTCAAGTAGTGGAGGGTTAGGCTTTAGAAACTAATTTGTTAGGTAGAGCTATAGCTTAGCCACAGTTAGGTGAGCTACAGTATTTGCACTTGTTTTCAGCCCTGGGTGCTTTTGCTGTAAAACCCCAGCTTCAAGAATTAGCATACCATTATAAACGTATGTATCAACACTTGAAGAGTGGACGAGGTAGGCTGCTAAGTATTGGATGAATATCATTTTCCTAGACTGGCCGCAGTGTGTGACTTTATTATTAGATCAGTGATTATTCCAGCTGGAATAACATTCAGTGCTCAGCATAACGTACATACATAAAACATGTGAAAATGATTCATCAACTTGTATTTACTAATATTCTTAGCACAACACACAGTAGCACCACTTTAGGGTAATAAAAGAAATAAATGTAACCGCGCATTTCCATATTTCATAGATGAATGACTTGTGGGATGGCTGTCAGATGGTGGAATATGTTTAGTAAAGATTGCTTCAAGCAATGAATTTCATTTCCATTTAAATTTCAAACCCCCTTTTAATGAATATTTTTTTTTTTTTGCAGAACAACTTATTCTCCATTCTATTTCTGGAGCAAATGTTTGTTTCTTTCTGCTGACTCTGCAAAAACCATAGAAAAAAGCTGTGATTCTGTATGTTTATCAGGAAAAAAAAAAGATTTATTGCCCGCAGCAATAATCCATTCTTGCTCACATATTTGTTATGGCAGGAAAAAAGCTGTGTGTTTTTACAAACATCACTGTACAGAAAAGGTGTGAGATTCAGGAAAATAGCCTGTAGATGTTTGCGGATCTAAAGAATATGTGTATTGGTATTACCAATTATCTCCTGATATATAAAACAAATCATCCTGTTTTGCAGATCACTCTCTCCAGCCACTTTATTAGGTACACCTGTTCAATTGCTTGGTATCACAGATTGCTAGTCATCCAATCACATGCGAGAAAAATCCCAGTAGATCAGCAGTTATTGAAATACTCAGACCAGCCCTTCTGGCACCAACAACCATGGCACGCTCAGAGTCACTTAAGTCCCCTTTCTTCCCCATTCTGATGCTCAGTTTGAACTTCATCAAGTCGCCTTCATAACGTCTAGATGCCTAAATGCATTGAGTTGCTGCCATGTGATTGGCTGATTAGCAATTTGTGTTGCCAAGCAATTGAACAGGTGTACCTAATAAAGTGGCCAATGAGTGTAGATCTCACAATATACAGCAATTTTATTTTATACACAAGTATTTATTTTATACAGCAGTGGTCTCCAAACTGTGGCCCAGGGGCCAGATGTGTCCCTTTGCTTGCCTTTGTCTGGCTGTTGGGGCACTATTCCACCAACTAACACCAATGTTGGAACTCCATTGCCCCTACTGACACCATCAATGGGGTATTATTCTTCTCATTGATAGCAACAATGGGACATTATTCCTCCCATTAAACTAATAATGGAGCCAGGGGCGTTTTTGGCTCTCATTGGCCACAGTCCTGGCCCCCCTAAAGCCTGAAGGACAGTAAACTGGCCGTTTGCTTTTTAGATAGTTTGAAGACCTCTGTTATACAGTGTTTTTTGAATGAATATAGCCAGCACCTGCTGTAGCTCTTCCAATACTTTATTTACTCTCGCGATACTTTACAACATACAGTCCTCCAGGCTCGCGCGTATTGGCCCCCAGTGGGTCTTAAGCATAGTGTTTTTTAACATTCTACTTATGCAATATGAAAAACACACACAAAATATGTTCTATACAAAACCAACTCAGTAGTTCAATCCAACGACCTTGGTGTCACTACTGTATTCTGTATTGATGTAGGGGTTGAAGAAGGAACCATGGCACGTGGTGGGAACCAGGGTCATCAATAGTCCCAGATGTATCAGATTCTGTAGGGCTATGGCTTTTTGTTCATTATTAAAGTGAGAAACAGGAGTGGAATGTATTCCATGTCTTCTTTACAAGGACAACATTATTTTTGAACTTTATTTTAGCTACAGAGTCTCTTTAAAAGAAGTACATTATAAAACTGCTGTTTTCCCAACTATTGGTGGTTACATTGCTATCATGCAACATTTAAATGGAACCTGGGTACAGGCTGTACACCTGTTTAGAGCTGGTCAGGTATATTCTTAGATTTACCTGTACTGTTTATCATTATAAGTCGTTAAAGCCAATTCTGCCTTTTTAATATTCTCCTACGCTCAGTGTTAAAGGGTATCTCCACTTTTGTTGGAAAAAAATAGTGTGACTGCCGACTGTGGACGGGCAGCGCCTACAGGCACAGTGACGCACCTGTATGTCACTGGCCTCTTCAGGGTACAGGGAGCATGTGAACACCCCCCCCGCTTCCCGACTCCCCTCATGATTGTACACAGCGGGAGTTTGCCAGGTTCCAGCCAATGATTTATGGCCGGAACCTGCTAACCGGCTGTGTCCAATCACAGCCCAGAGCCCTGTGTTGACAATCAACACAGGGCTCTGTACAGAGGTAAAGATCTCTCTTTTTCTTCTCCCTGCAATGAAGGGAGTAGAAACAAAGTGATTTTAAATAAACACACATTACACACATTAACACTTGTTAGGCACACACGTAACCCCTTGATTACCAACATGTTACCAACCCACTTCCCAGCCAGTGTCATTAGTACAATAACAGTGTACGATATTATCACTGATCACTGTCTTGGTGTCACAGGAGATGTCAGTTTGTCAGTTCTCACCCAATGTCATTTAGTGTCAGATTGCCCACCGCATTAACACAGTCCATTATAAGTCGCTGATTACCACCATTAGTATCATCACAACTAAATAAAAATTCGGATATATATACCATAGTTTGTAGATGCTACAACTTTCATGCAAACTAATCAATATACACTTACTGGGATTTTTTTTTAGCAAAATACATTTTTGGCATAAACTTTGAGAAAAAAAAAATTGTTTTTTATATGTTTTATAGCACAAAGAAAACAACATTTTCAGTCTTTTTTCATTTACATAAAAAAAAAACTCAATGGTGATCAACTACTACCAATATAAACTTCTATTTGTTTGAAAAAAAAGATATACATTTTGTTTGGGTATAGAAATTACCAGTTAAAGCAGCACAGTGCTAAATGCAAAAAACACCCTGGTCATGAAGGGGGATAAAACATTTTGGAGCTGAATTAGTTATACATTTATGACACAAGTCATATTGTCATTGAATGTCCTTTCCTTTTCAATCGGCAGCTCTGTAATTTTCTGTAAAATTCAGGGCAGTATAGCAGCCCAGAAACTTTCTGTTCACAGGAGGTATACAGAACACTAGAATCCTTCAAGTACAGAAGCTGATTGATAATTATAAAGTCACTCCCATACAGGTTCACTGGGACCATGGACACAGACAAACAAACAGCTATTTATTCAAAATAGCAAAAGGTAGGAGTCTGCAACAGAAATTGTTAAAATTCTGGCAGTGTACATAGATCACCAGGAGGAGAATGGTTTTTTCTCAACAAAAGTAGAATTACTCTTTAAAAACAATATCTGACAGGCAGGGCTGCTGTTAGAAACCACAGGGCCCCATACAGGCAACCTGACAGGGCCCCCCTGAAAAAAACACAGTTTATTATGCTTCAGTTATGGATGAACACAGTGAGTGACCAATACCGATCACTCACTGTGTTCATGCAGGAAAGGAAGGGCCTGATAAATGTGATATATTTACTGGACCCTTCCCCACTCTCCATCCTGAGGGATCCTATTGTGTGCTTGCAGCTGCCAGTGGAAAAGAGAGGAGGAAACTGGTAGCACTGTATGGGGGGGGGGGGGGGGGGCACACAGGGGGCCTGGGAAGCAGGGGGAAATGTATGGTGCACAGGGAGGGTGATGGGTGTGAAGGGGGGGGCAATTACTGGAACCAATCCCCTGTATGGCTCTCTCTGCAGCAGCCTAAAGCCAGCAGGAGGGAGAAGAGAGGAAGCTAGCTTTCAGCCACTGCAGAGAGAGCCATACAGGTGATCGGTTCCAGTAATTGCCCCCCACCATGCCGATCACCCTCTTTGCTCACATCTGATTCACCCATACAGGAGGACTTGTGGTACCCCCTTATCCATGGCCCTGCTGATAGGACCACTCGCTCTCTCCATGTCCCAGCTCTGCCCTTTGCTTCCTTCTCTGCTGCTGACCACTGCTTCCCATGCAATATCCATGGTTGCACTAGATGAACTTGTATCTTTTTTCAGCCAGACTAACTATGTAACACACTTCATGTGAGCCCAGGGCATTGTTAACACGCATCTTTGGAGTGAGTTATCAAGTTGGCTTGGACTCTCTGTACGATGTTTCAACACTGGGTGACTGGAGACATAGAGAAGGCAAATTTATTAAATACTTTCCTCATCTCTGTGTATACAAAGGAGCATGTCCATAATGGACATGGTATTGACACAGCCCCAGATGATCCACATTGGCTCACAACTGATATGGTCCGGAAATATTTAGACAGAATAAAGGTGAATAAAGCACCTGGACTGGATGGCATACACCCACGGGTTCATAAAGAATTGAGCTCTGTCATTGTTTCTCATTTTTAGGGACTCTTTAAC